ACCAAAGTTCATTTGAATACAGAATCTGAAATTAGTTTTCACTGTTTGAGTGCTCGTTCAGTTTAAAGTTTACAGGTCTACGATCTTCTAAAAATAATTATCATGACAATTAAAGAATAAAAATTGTTACAGGAAAAAAATTGTATACTCTGTGAAAACAACTCATCAGCGTCGATATATAAAAATAAAAGTTACGAAAATATTTAGTTAAGCAATAGATGAAAGGTAAGGTTAATTAATACAATTTCAATAGCAGCTTTTATTTAATGCCGAAGTTTTCCCAAACTTTGTAAAATCAACCGGACAATAACCACAATAGAGTCAGTCCATTTGGAACGGCCAAAAAATGAAAATGTATACGTTACTTTTTATGATTTTTTCCTCGACATATCTCACTGTTGACGCTGAACTAAACATCGGAATTTCAAACAAAGAGAATTTGAAAATTTTTGCGAATATCAACGACGTTATTTTTGCAACAAGCTCAACGTTTGAAGAACACGAATTTCTATTTGACATTCCAAACCCCAGTCTTGTAGTCAATTTCAAAGAAAATCATCATCAGGTATATAAAAACTTCTACCCAAACTACAACTACGTAATAATAGAGGAAAACTATACAAATTTTGAGAACACGATTCTTAGTCTACACCAAGACGACAATTTGAAAGTTAATGGAAAATATCTTCTAATAATCAACCTGGTTCAAAAACACGAACTCAAAAAATATTTTCAATTACTTTGGAGTTACGAAATCTACAACGTGATCCTCCATATAAACTCGACTTTCTTCACTTGGTACCCCTACGAAAAATCTGGCGACATGGTGGTTCGAAAAACCACTCTACTGGAAGGATTTTTGAACAAGATTCCCAAAAGGCTCAACTGTCCTTTAAAAATCAGTTGGAACCACTGTAGAGACAATCTCAGGAGTCCTTTCAACAGAACGAACCCGGGAGGCTTTGTTCTTCATGTTGACGTTCTGACAAAAGCAATGGGATCTCAATCTGTCTATCTCCCAAATGTCGAAGATCTTAATAAAATGGTGTTAAACAAAACATTTGATGTCAGCAGACACATGAAGAAAAACAATATAACTCTGGCTATTGGTAGTTTACCTGCGATGTTTCGCAGAGGTTTTGAAATCACATTTGATGATACGCACTTCGTACAAGAGACAGTGTTCTTGTTAGTGTTACCACTGAAAAGAGTCAAACCAAAATGGAAAGAATTCATCAAATGTGATACCATAACTTTGGTTTTGATACCAACGACGCTAATTATTTGTGGAATGTTGATATCTACGAAATCAAAAATGTCGCTAGGAGCTTCAATTTTCCTCTCTTGGCAAATCTTCATACAGTTGAATACATCAATAGATCCCCGGAAAGTAAAAGTGAGAGTTTTTCTTGTTCTCATGCTGTTTTCGATGTTAATCAATTTCTTCTATTTGAATGAACTAAGCAGTGTTTTCACTAAACCCAACTATGAAGGAAGGATTAGAAGCGTGAGGGATTTTGCCATGTCAGATATTCCACTGGATACCCATAAGCCCGTTTTGAAGTTTTTAGGACAATATCAGGACCAAGAAACGAAAAATCTTTTAAGAAAAAAGTTTACTGAGAGCAAAGGTCGTACTCAAATCGACTATGTGAAGCGTTTTGTTGACGGTAACATCGCTCAAGTTCCAGTCGCGATTGGTTTCATACCGTACGTCAGAAATCCTGAGGTTATAGAAAAATTTCAGGTACTACTTGTTTTGACTGATAGTTTATACTGTACTGATCTTTTGTTTTCTAGATTAGTTCGTTCTATAATTATTTTCAGATTCCTTTGCGCTGTCACCTTAAGGAAAAAATCAACTTTCATTTGAGAGAAATAGAAGAAAGAGGCTTGAGGTATAAGTTTGAGACTATGGCAAGAGTTAATCAGCCGAAGTTTGTAGTTAAACAACATGAAAACGTTGTAATAATCTCGCTTTCTGATTTGAGAGGCGTTTTTCTAGTGTGGATCAGCGGATGTTTTCTTTCTAGTGTGATTTTTGTTGTGGAAATATTAAATGAGAAGTACCATATGAGAAAGAAATACTGCATTTAGCACACTTCTTCATAAATTCTGGTAGAATCCACAGCTGTTTGATTACAGAATTTTATTATTTTGCACTACTCAGAGTGTTCGTTGGTAATAGATATTATTTGCGATTGTCTTAATTTTTGAAGGTGTTGATAGTAAACGGTACTAATTTTATCAGAATAATTTTAACTTCTGTTCTTCACTTCTTCTTTTTTTAGCTTTAGCGCCGTTATGGCTTTAATGCTCTTCAAGTTGCGGTAATTTTTACAATATCATCACAGTTGGGTGCAGTAAATCTGCTTCCTTTTTTTCAATATTATTATAATTTTTTTATAATTAATTAAGTAATTGTGCAAATCCTTTAATATAAAATGCATAGAAACACACCTTAGACACAAGCTAAAACTATTTCCCAGTGTTGTCAGTGTTTGTTTACAATAGAAACTTAAACTTTTCAGTAATATATTATTTATCCAACACCATATACCTTTCAGTGCTTTGTTGCTAAAAAATACAATTACATAAAAATGAAAGATCGATTATCTGTCAAAAGTTAAAACCCTTGACAATTATAATGTCGATAAATCAGAGTTTGGATACTTTTCTGTCATCGTTTATAAAAAAAAAATCTTGTTAAATAAATTTGGTAAATAGGTATCATATTATATTTTGTAGTGTTTAGTATTTTTTACAAAAGTTTTTTTTTAATTAAAAAACTTGTTTGAATATTATAATTTAAGCATGTGCGTATATTGTACTGAAAACTAAAATACGATATTGCGTGCGTGATGATTTAAATTATCAAAAGCTTTATTACATACTCATAAATACAACAATACAACTTTTTAAACATAGAGTACAAAGTTTTAGACATTACGAACATTTTTCCTAAACTTCTGTCATGCTCGTTAATTTTTACTTTCATAATGAGAGTTAAATAATCGTAAAGCTTTGTTGCTTAATTTTGGCTTTTTTCCAAAATGTTGTAAGCACAAAATAGAACACAGAAATTGACTAATTGATTATTAAATCAAGAAACGTATTATGCTACACATTTTAAACAGGATTTACTTAACCAAACTTTACGTACGTATATTGTAATACAACAAAAGTGAAAACAATTTCATACATCAAATGCTGAATTTGAAGAAAAGAAAGCTAATTTTTAACTAAATTATCAAAGGAAACCGCACCGACATTCAGAAATTATTGTTAGTCTCTATTTTAACGAAATGTGACAGTTTATAATTTAATAGTGTAAAACTTTGACTATTCGTCAACACGTTATTTCTGTTTTAATGTATGTAAATTCACAGTTCATGTTAAGATTTTCAATTGTTCATGGTTCTAATATACAATTTAACTCCAATTAAATATGTGTTTAGTATATAAAAAACGTAGCAGGAAATTCACTTATTCAAGCTTAACCCATCTTAAATTATGTGACGGGCCGTCACTAAATCAGTTCACGAGAAGATCGCAACAAAAAGACGAAAAGCAAATCCCCAGGACACAAAAACAAAATTCGCAAATTTCCAAATTTTAATTACGTAACATGCATGTCCAAATCTGCACATTGCACCATTCAAAGAGATAATCAGAATCAACCACCAATCCCCAAACGTAAGAAAAAAATTCGCATATTCGCAAATTTCAAATATCATTGCGCTTGTCAGACAGTGCGAACAACATGCGCAGAATCATACACCTATAAAAACCGGCAATCGCAATTACTTTCATTCGAATTCGTACCCAAACTGCGGTCGAAACCCAGACGCATAAAAAACAGATCAAAGAACGCCGCCTTTACTAACAGAGATGCAGCAGGCTGACGCAACCTAGCGATAACTAAACCTTATAAAACAGCAACATAAGGTCTAAAAGTCGCGTTCCGAGTAACCCATAACTTATCTCTTTTTGGACAAAAATCCCTATAAAAGCAGTAGCGCAGAAAGCGACTTTCATTCAAGTTCCGAGTTGCCGGGGGCCACGCTGTCCGTTCGTTGATCGATTTTTATACTATTTTTAGCTGAAATTTGGAGCAATCCGGACTTAAAAAAAATTGCTGAGACCAAGCAGAAAATAGAAAAATTTCCATGCTGCATCTGTGTAAGTCTACTATCGGTCTCACTTAACTTATCTAGCTCTCGCTGGGTGTGAACAGACAGCGCCGGGGGGGCGGAAAGAATTTTTTGGGTTAACAGATGTTCTCGTTTACGGGCGATAGTCTCGGCCGTGGGTCAGCTTTTGGTCGTCGGGGAGGATTTTTCGATAATTTACCGATCGCCTGTTTATGAAAATTAATCCGTTTCCTCGGTTTCCGGGTTCGACCCCTGCGTTCGCGACACTGATATTTTAGATGGGTTTTTGGGAAGTTTCCACTTTAATCTGATTTCTTCGCAGTTGACAACTTTACCTTGAATTTATTATCGTTCAATATGATCCTGTTCTCTGATTATTTTGCGATAATTTTAGGAAACCTTGCAGTTATGCGAATGTAATGCTTTCACCGTACTTTAGAGAATTTATGGTACTATTTTCTATGTGTTTAGTTTTATGAAAAGGCTCTGGCTATCCATTTTTGCTTTTATCTGACCATCCCGTAACCGCTGGTTTTATTTTTTATTTTTTAGATAAAAAATAAAAAAAATTATTCAAACCAATCTTAAACATCAATCCATTTTGAAGAAAAGAACATTGAACATTATCATCAGTTAAATTAATATCATCGTGGACTCGAAACACCAGGGATATTTACATAGGCGACACCCTGGTAACTCTGTTTAAAGTGGCTTCTGTAAGTTTTTTATATTTATTTTGAATTTACTAGGACTAGTGTAGGAAAGACGTATTTCGTGCACGAATTCGAGTGTGATTTATCCCTCGACTTTCGGTCTGGGGCCGAAAATGCAATACAAAAATAACTATTTCAAAATTATACAATAACTATTTATTTGTTTGAATCTTGACATTTAAATAAAACCAAATACAACGCTATACTTATTGGATAAAATTTTTGTAAACTGTAAAAATACAACTGTTTCCATATATCGTAGTTGGAATTTGTGCTTTGTCTTTAATCAGCCTATTTATATTGCAGAGAAAACCTCTGATTAGTTCCAGCATGTTTATCATAAATTATTATCCCAGCCCCTGCAGTAAAATTAAACGCTAGTACATCTAACGCTCTACCACTGGCTGAATTTGTTATCGTCTGGTCAGTGTGATGGTACTGCCACTGCTGACTCGGTCCCCCATTTTTTACGTCAGTAAGTATTGCACTACCATTTGTGCCCTCGCCCTCTACTTGCAAATATCTCCTAACAAACAACAATGAAAAATTGATAACACATAAGCACGTAAATATTTTATTTTTCTACTTACTGATTACCAACATTCTTTATCAAGAAGGTGTCCGTCTCAGTACGCTCAAAGCGCCATAGCTGAAGCGGACTCCGTGTGTATTCTTGGAGTTGCGTTTTGTACTGGCTAGCGTCGAGAACAAGCGAAGATGCAGGGTTCACTATGACGATGGAGTTACGGTTTTCTGGGTACCACTGCGTGTTTTGCTTTACCAAGATACAGGGGGTTATGTGTTCGCCGAGGGGGTGGCAAACGAGCCATGTGCAGTCGGCCATGACGAAGTTCTTTTGATACTACATGAAAGACCCTTGGAATTCAGTTTAAATAGCAGAAAACGTATAAGTTGGTTTCTTCTTTGGCAAGAGCGGCAAAATTGATGTGGAATTTCCGCGAAACTACAAATATTTTGTTGATATTTATACGCTACTTATACATGGTGGTAGCAATATTTGATTGTGGTTAATTTTTGTTGTTCCAGTGTGTTTTTAACATTTGATAAATTTTGATAACGTTTGTATTGTGCAAAATTTGTTTTTTTGTGGTTTTCTTTATACTTGGTGGAAAACAGAGATACATTTCGTTTAAGGTTGAGATATTTTTATTTCGCAGTTTTTAGAAAATGTGTTATGTTGAACTCCTGTGGGGTTTTGGGACTAATAATTCGCATCTTGTCTAAAGTAATACATTAATTTTTAAAAGTAATTTGTAATTGTAATGAATTACTTTTCAAAAGTGATTGTTCTAATCACTGATCGGAATAAAGAAGCCCATATTTGGCAAATAAATGTATTCTAACTTAATGCTTGAAACACCGCCTAGACAAGAAACCAAAAGTATGAATTTGCAGGGCCGTGGAAAGTATAGATGATTTTGATGAGTAACTTATTTGAGAATGACTCCAGAATCCGGGGTTTTTGGTGCTTACGATAAAAAGGGCTGGTCGTTTTTCAAAAGGGCAACTTCGTGCTGCTAAGATCCACTGCAGCTCGATATATTGATAGCCTATCTGAAAGTATTTTATCCAGTTTACAACAAAAACCTACAATTATTAAAAAAAAGAACAAAGAAAGATAAACTCCATAATATGTAGCGATATCGGCTGTAAGCAAATACTTACGACTGCTACTACTTAAGGTCACTCAACAATATTTTAGTAATCAACTGGAAAATAGATCCTTAAAACCTATAACGTAACGGATTACTCAGTGTGAAATTCGCACCCGTTTATCTGTGGATGAACTACAACAAATATTTTTTGAGATCGCAAATTTGGCAATGTTCATATTCAGACAATTTTCTAACTAAAAGCTGTCTACAATCAACGGAAAACTGTTATCAGGTGCTAAAGTTTAAGGGCAGTTGCTACGTTGTACATTTTCAAAATGTAATATTTCTTATATTTCCATTATTAACATATTACTTATGGTTGTAAAATTGTAAATATAAGCTGTCCATAACTTTCTTTATATAACGCAAGGACAGTTTTGTAAAAATCAGTTTGCGAACATTTTTTTTTATTAATTTTACTGAAATTTTTGCATAAAGTATTTTTAAAAATCAATATCTCAATTACATAAGGAAATTTCGGAACACAGTCTTCAATACTGTTTTCAGCTTATAAAAGTCTAGAAATCGTACCAGATATATCTTCGACTGTTTTTGTTAGAAACGATACACAGTAAAAAAAACTGCTGTCGTAGTAGCTGCTTTTTTTTATATCTCAGTTCCAATAAATAAAATCGAAAATATATCTAGTACGATTTTTAATGTTTCGTAACCTGAAAACAGTGGTGAAAACCGCGTTCCAAAATTTCCACAAATAAGTGAAATATTGTTTTTTTTAATACGTCATGCAAAAATTTAACAAAATTTAAAACATATATGATAAACTTATAAAAAAACTACCTTAGCATTATATAGTGAAAGTTGTGGAAAGGTCACATTCAAAATTTCATACCAATAAGTGTGTTAATAATGAAGATATTACATTCCAAAAATATATTGACAACGTCATAAGAGCCAAATGCAGCAACTTCTCTTTAAGTAAAATCAACAGGTTGTGTTTCAACAGAAATGGCAAAGAAAAGACCATGGTCGTAATTTCCACCGATAACGTTAAAAATGGAGTTTATCTTTTCAACGTTTTTTTTTTATAAATATATGTTTCTGTTGAAAACTTGATAAAATACTTTGTGATAACCCAAACTTCCCGCCTTGAAATTTGACCTTGAAAACAGTTTGAAAGGCCCGCAAAAAAATTTAAAAATTCAAAGTTTGGCCTTGGCTATGATCGTCTAACAAATAGGAACCTACGTTGTGTTTTTTTTTTTTTTGTTTTTGAAAAATGGCGGGAAGACGTTCTTTCATACAAGTGCATACACTGTCGAGAGCGCAAGAAATAATAGACAAAAATTGTTTTGGAGGGGGGGAAACGGCACCACCCTCACAGGGGGAAATACGCTGCGAAGATTTACCCCTCAGCGCAAAAACCCCCTTGGTTTTATTCCCGGACGACATTTTATTACATTTCAAACACCTTAAGATATGTGAAAGAAAAACACTCGCGAATTGACTGAAAAAAAAACACTCCCGAATTGACAGAAAGAAAAACACTCGCGAATTGACAGACATACACACACGAAAAACGAACAAACGGAAATTCTGTACATCTGTTTGGAATCAATGCAAATATTTGAATATCACTAATTTAATAAAACAAAGCAAAAGCTGAATCAAGTAACTGGGTGCAAACACACAAGTTATTACAGGCGTGTGGCGGCCGATCTCTTTTCCCTTTTTAAGTTACGGCAGTTAATAGGAGCACAACAAAAGTACCCCTGGAGCGTTGTAGCATAAGCGGAGTCTGAGCTACCGGTCTGGGACTGTTCTCCCCCCACGACGGTGATTCTATCTATCACAAAGCCTACCCCACACGCATATCCCATGACGAACTTTGCCCTGCGGAACTAGGCCATTACGGTCGTCCAACCCGCAAAGATCTCGACTATTGGGCCAAATCGAGAAATTCACAACGTCGGCGGCCGCCCCCTGAATCTATCCAAACCTGTGGACTTGTACAGGTGGCGCGATAAATCTCGCCAGCTCGACTAGGAACCAAACCTCGCTTCTGCCACGTTTTCTGTGTCATTTAACCTCAGTTCCAGTTTAAAATATTCAATCTCTTATAACTCTGATATTAACAACAACTGAACAAGTGTTAAAGTGTCAAAAAGCAATAAACAACATTTAGATTCGCCATACAACCTTGTGAAATTTTAAACAATAAATAATTCGTATGTGAGATTAAAGTTGGACATCAATTAATTTATATCATAGAAACATTCACCAACAAAATATTTACAAAACAAAACTTAGCAAGGATTTATGCAACAAAGATCTGGTGCGAAATAAACTTGTACAAATGGAAACATTATGTGAGGTTAAAACTGTAGAACATGAGATTTACGTTTAATCAAAATTATACCACAAACAAAATTACTGAGGTTAAAATTGTGAGATTAAATAAATATAGTATGTATGAGGTGGAAGATTGCAGAGTTACCAAAATTTACAGGAGATTAATATTTGCCACACTTTATCAACGGTTCAAACAAAGAGTTTACATTATGCCAAATTATATCATGATCTAAATGATTGGTTACTTCAAAAATAATTTACTTTGAGAAGTTAAAATACTACGAACTGGTTACCCCAACAAAACACATAATAAACAAATACAAAAATATCCAATCATCGGTCCGAGGGAAAAAGCGTCTCGGTGATGTAAGTTCCAAAATCGTTGCGAGGAAAAAGCGTCTCGGTAATGTAAATTTTCTGTAGCGTTGGGGGCATGCCTTAATTAATTAATCAATCTGGCGTTGCGAAACATGCCCCGATGAATTAATCGTGATAACGATGATAACCACCTGAGGGGAGAAAATATCATAACCCCCCGCCAGTCCGCAGTATAATGAACTTGTTTAACTGCCGTAAATGAACTATTAGCAATCTTGTGTGAAGAATTTAGAAGTGTTATAATGTAACACTTACGTATATGCATCCAGAGACCTATTCGTAATTAAACATAAGGTGTTTTTCCTGACTAAGTGAATTTCATGAAATCTTCTAGCAAATGGTTAATTTAAATAATCCTGATTGTTAAATTGTGTTTGCACTAGCTGACTATTAAGAAAAACTAGCTTGATTGGTGAATTTACAAACAAAGAAACAGATTCACAACACGTGTTCGCGTCCGACCGGAAGTCTGCAATTTTCGATTAAAAGGGCGCAAGAATTTAACGCGCGGGTTGGGGACAACTGTATCATTATGAAAAATACGTTTGATCGTCGTTAAACAAAGGCTTCCTCCCGTTTTATTAACTACCAAACCAACTAATTTAAACCTAGCGCTTACCACGTGGTCACACACACACAGCCACATTCGTAATGAATCTACCATGCGGTTTTTCTACCAACCCTCTAACTGAAATTACCCTAGCGCTACGTGCTGCCATCTAACTCAAAGATCATGCAAACTAATCCCTAAGCGCTACGTGCAAGAGACCATCCATGCATATTTGGTTGCCTATGTTTAAGGAGTTCCTTTTCGTGATTGAACTTTTTTTTTTTCAAATTCAAATTATTCAAATGCGATTTCGCGCCGCTGTCAATTAATTTCAGCGCGAAAACTTTGATTTAAATTCGGTCACCACAACTTTCAGGCCTGTTATTAACATATCGAGTAACTAACAGCTATTTTCAGCACAATTAACTTATATTTTGAAAGCTATTAGAAATAAATATTTAAATTCTGTAAAAAACATTGTCTTTAACACTATTTAGTAGGAGTATATTCTAAATATGACATATAGGCAGTGTTGGGGACAGATACTTTTTGAAGGTTGGCGAATAAAATAACTGAAAACATGTTTATGTATTTTTTTATGTATTGTTCAATGAATTTGTTAAAATTAACAACATTTCGAACGTATTGTCACCTAAATTATTTCTTCTTGGCGTCAGAATTTGGTTTCCGCTACTAAACACCCGTTCCACTGGTGCAGAAGAAGGGATTGTGGTATTAAATTTAAAAAATAAATATTTTACTGTAGCATAGTTATTCAAGACTGAAAAATCTTTTCTTTTTTCCTGCAAATAGGCCATCGCTTCGCTGTTTGATGTGTCGCAAATTGTGCAATATTTATTACGTACCTACGCTTAAAAAGATTTTTTTTTTGTTTTTATTCCCATACTACAGTGTCCAAATTGTGTTTGAGTATATCTAATAATTATCTCCAGCATTAAAATTAATATTTGAAAAGAATACGGGAAATGATTATTCTGTGCTGAAGGTCTGTTGTCGGCAAACTGTCATAAATTATTATTCTTCACTATAAACTTACGATGTTTTTATGACCATGTCCGGTAATCGTCTATCCCGGCGCGGCAGGTATATACATTTTAGGAAGAATTGCTGGTTCGTTTAAGGCAAAATAAGTACAATTTCTTAGAAAGGTATTTAAACCCCTTATAGGATCAAAGGCTGCCTGGCAGGCCGGAATCACCAGAGTGCAATTTTGAATTTTCAGATTTTTGTTGAAACTCATTTTATTTTAATCTCGTTTCACGATTTCTGAAAATATATCACGATAAATTATTCTACCGAGGGTTGTAAAAATATTAGTTTTATTGCCCAAGATTTACACTTAATAAACATAATCGGCACATTCTAGGGCAAAACGGACCTGCCAAGCCAGCCTCGCGTTAGTCCAACAATGAAAAAGTGAAGAAATGACACATGTGGCAACAGGAAAAGATGCTACATTTGTCTGAAAAATAAAGGTATAAAACAGTAACAAATATGCGATTTATGCGAGAGAAATGTATGTATTGAACATTCGATTAGTCGATTACAGAACTAATTTGTGCTAATTGAAAAAATTATCATTATGTAACACGCAATGATTATTTTCTAAAAATAATAACATACCTTAAACAAATATTTTTACTATTAAAATTATTCTTACTTAATAACACAAATACAACCAGCGGGCCTACC